ACAGACAGACAGACAGACAGACAGACAGACAGACAGACAGACAGACAGACAGACAAACAGACAGACAGACAGACAGACAGAGACAAAAAAGGAAACCCACTGACCTGCTTGAAGACATTGGTTCTGCACCTACTCTTGCCCCTCGTTAGACGCGCGTGCGAGGTATTGTCGTGCAGCAGCAGGGCCTTAGAGGGTGACGACCTGGACGGAGTGGCTGATAAAGGGGGTGGAGCTCTGTGCTGGGAGGGCGTGGCGAAGGGGCGGGGCTGAGACAGGTGTCCACTGGGCTTGGCTTGGGCAGCCAGGGACTGTGTCATGTCCGTGTCGCCGCTGGTCGCTGCGGGAGGCTGGGGCATTCGATTGGTCCACCATGGGACATCTTCAGAACCGGCGGCCAATAGCGGGCGAGTAGATGCGGTGGCGGGGTTCCTGGTCAAGGGAAACAGCTCGGAGGGTCAACTCGAGTAGAAGGAGGGAGGGGCTTGTCTGGCCCCGCCTTCTTGTGTCTCCCACGAAGAAATGCCCCTTCGTTTGTATCTTTCAGCAAAAGCTACCGCCCCGCATGGGTTATGTGTATTGAACTCTCTGTGGAGTCAGGTCGATCAACGAGCTTACACCAAAGCTTGCCAACAATACAGTTTTTTTTTTATTTGAACATAAAAACTGCTTTAAAAATAGCTATGGGGAGTCCCGTTGTCAGTGAAGAAAGGCAGAACGAACCTGGTCTAAAATTAGCTCCAGAAAGTCCCGTTGTCAAAGTTAAAAAGATAAGTCTCCAGTATGATCAAGTAATCAGAAGACTACTTGAAGTCTTGATGTTTCGGACGCCTTTGGCGTATTTGCATGTTGTTGTTATTGCTTGTTTTTTTTTCTTGGTACTAACAGTAACCAGATCGTCGGGTAAAAACACTACGTTGTAAAATAGCACCGTGCTGATGAAGTCAAGTGGCTGGCTGGACTGTCTTGTCAGCCCAGATTGCGTTGACCTACATTTACAATCCCGTCCAGGTTCTCAGATGACATCCGTATGGCACGTGATAGGGGAACATAGACCACTCTATCGTGACCTGTGTTTGTGAACACAGACAGACGCTTGATTGATCAGAGATGGATGCTCGTGGTTACGTCTGAAAGGAACAACAGAAAAAAAAGAAATGTTATCTTCTACAATTATAAGCGTTGGGTATTAGTTTTTAAAAATAGTTTTAGTAGAGGTTCTACGGCGCTCGCAACTGCATAAGGTCATATGAGCGCCAAAGATTAGAGGTATTACAAGAGAGTAACATACATAAAAAAGAAGAAGGGGAAATAAGGACGACAGATATTTCATAGGAAAGAATAATCAAACCACACCAGAGCACCCGACAACCACCAACGAGTTTTAGTTTGCGTAAGGGTTTCACGGCACTTGCAAAACAATTAGGTGAAGTAAATGTAATAGATTGGAGGTGATACAATAGCGTAATAAACACAAAAAAGAAGGAAAAGAGATCAGGACGGCAGATGTTTGATAGGAAAGAAGGAGTAAACCACTCTAAAACACCCGCTAACCACTCATGTCATATTTGGGAAAGAGGGTAGAATAAGGTCGTTAGCAGTAGTGGACAACGTTTTGTTTGTTTGTTCCTTTGTATGTATGTTTGTTTTTAATAGCACCAGCAGGATTGCACAACATTCAACAGCTCGTATAATGGATTTCTTTCCATTCTAAGAAGCTGAATTTGGATACACAAGGTGTTATTATTAACATGTCTATCGGTTTCGGCAATACAGGATTTCTCACAACACGAGTTTACAGCAAATTTAAGGAGGGTGTCGACATGTTTATGACACATCAGCACTATTTCACATGAAGTAGATACAGCCATCCCCTTCCCAATCGCCTCCCACCCCCTTGTGGAGTGTATGTGTTTGGTAAGAGGTTTACGGTGCTCGGAATTGCAAGTGAAGAGAGAGAAAGAGAGAGAGAGGGAGAGGAATAGAGAGAGAGAGAAAGAAAGAGAGAGAGACATACCGAGGTACAGACAGATGGAGAGAAAGAAAGGGAGTGGGCGAGTGAGAGAGTGAGAGTGAGATACAGAGAGACAGAGAGACAGAGAGATAAAG